TACTTCTTATCTCTATTTGCGCTCAGTTTTTGTTAAAGTCACGCTACTTCATATCGGTGTTGTCATCCCCTTAAGCACAACCGCCCCCTATGGTTTTCCCTTTTACCTACTCCCTCTGTCAAAGCTGACGGGTTCCAAGTCCGGGGTTTTTATCGACTTGTTCACGTTTCGTAAATACATCCCCCTGCGGTTGGTATCGTACATCGGGTAAGTAACCGAAGTCGTATGATTCTTATCAGTTGAATCCGCCCGTACGCTACTTACTTAAATAACAACTGACTTCGGTGTCAATTCTTGACCCAAGCAACAAAGTCGTACGATCCCAATAAACTAATCATAACCCGATTTTGAACCAAATTTACTAGTACTTTCCTTATCATGTTAGGATAAAATACACGGTCGGGGATAAGTTTTGCTTTTATACTCGGTAGTACCCCCTTGACCCAATTTACCCTAGGCACATAATTCCGTGCATGTACAATCTCATAGCAATTAGCTACCTACAGGTATAAACCGTTTTCCATTTTCTTAATCCCAGCCAGAGTTAGAGAGGGAAATGTCCGGGTAAAAGTGCATTTTTCTTCGATTTTATTTCTACTACTTTATTTAGCTTTAAGTCCACTTTTCAATCTTTCTATTGGTTTACCCTTAGCTAACAGCCATCCGATTAAGCTATTTAGACCTCATAACGAGAAATGAAATACCTAAACTTAAACCAAGGTAACGCTACCCAAGCAGAAAATACGCTAAGTAGAAAATTTGCTAGAATCACCAATTCTACAAGTTTACACGAGTGCTGCAATTGATTGGGTGCAAACTAGTTTGAAAACTTTGAAAACTTATAAGTTTGAAGTAGCAAAAAAATTACTCAAGCTGCAATAACAAGAGAGTTTCATAGATCATTTTATTGAGGAAACAACAAGTCAGGTTACGTATCTTCTCTAAGAACCACATTTAATCGTAACTTTTATTCGTAAATATCGCAAGTGAAAAGGAAAACTACTGACTCGGTTAATGAAATTAACCGAGCATACGTATAACACGTATGCTCGGTTAATTTCATAACACGTATGCTCGGTTAATTTCATAACACGTATTAACCGAGCATACGTGCATACGTATAACACGTTCGATGAAAATCAAACACATACCTCCAGATCTAGCTGGGCTCTAGGTGTACTTCATCGAGACATACGAAAATTTAGTTTGACCTAATTTTTTCTAGCTTTTTTTCATGTTTTTTTTTCGACTTGTTTTTTCTTACGACTGTGTTAAATGGCAAGTGATGCGAACCTCTATTTAGCCTCTGTGTTAAAATCTCTTGCCGCCTGGCTTTAACTAATTTTCATTTTTTTAACATTAAAAGCTTCTTTCGGTGCTTATGGCTTCGGCCTAGTTTTTATTGGCTTGTTGCCTAGTTTGAAAGGTCTAGGAAAAAATCCTCAGGAGTTAAATCCCCTAGGACAAAAACCCACCTGATAAAATTCCCCATGACTAAGTCCCCCGTAGGACCAAATCCCCCTAGGACGAAACCCCCCAGTTTTTTTGTTTAAAATACCTCACATTCATTCTGAATAAAAAAACCGACTTTAAAAGTTGAATTAAATGATGAAAGATAACTAACACAAAAGAAATAGATAGATTTAAGACTAAAAACTGAAAGCTAAAAGGACAAGTTAACGGCCATGGCTTCAAGATAATCCATCCTTTTGTAGTTGCGCCAGAGCTTACAGTTCTCTTTATCCTCCCAAAATTATCCTTTTTCAATGTGTGAATTTTCTCTCTGATCTGCATTTGAGAAAAACTAAAAGTTTGCAGTGACTGCTGCTCTAAATGGCCTCAATGAGTTTCCATATGTCAAAGTTTGACATTTGGAGGATGGATGCGAATCCATGGTGAAAGCCTTAGGGGGCATTGTTCGCCCTGGTGAGGTCTTAAATGGTCCTGAAGTAAACGTTCTACATATCCATGTCGAACCGCGATTTCCATCTTGTCAATTCTTGCGTTTTTTTGCCTATGAAGGTGTCCTCAAAATAGTTCTTGATGTCGTCAGAAATATGGCAACTAGTTTTTGTTTATACCAGGCTTATAAATGCAAGGGTGAGGCAAACGCAAGAGCAGCTAAAAGACGTATAGCTAGGTTGAATTCCTTTTCCTGACGATACTGTACAGCATAACCCAATTCGAATATCTTTCTGTAAATGGCTTGTGAGAAGTGAAAGAAACAATCTTTGATTTCTGTGTTTGAAAAGTTGTAACCCACTGAATTGATGCAAACCGTTTCAAAGTCCATCATGGTTGAACGGGGGGTAGAGGGGGCTTTTAAATGTACACAGCTTTTAAAAAATGTTCCATCTCGATTCTCAGTTTCCATAAGAGTTTGAGATTTCAATGTTTTTTGTTAGTTGCGAACACCAAATATCATTTACAGGTTCCCGAAATTGTCAAATCTTCAAAAAGAACCTCTGCATTCATGGTCTGTGTGCATTTAGCAGGCAGTTCAAAATCGAGTCCTAATGGTATAGGTCGCTGGCTTCAGTTTCATGTCGGTTACTTCTAATCCTTCGTTTAAGGTAAGGCGCCGAAAGCATTTTCGAGTAGCAATTTGGTGTAGCTTTTGCTAGGGAATTTGACAGCACTTTGTGTGTGGAAGAGTTAGTGCAGGCCGCTGTGTCCGCTTTTATCTGTTCATTAATGGTATACGTTTCCATTAGTTATAGTCCGATTCGTGTGTATGCTTAGGTGGCGATGGCTTGAAGAATTCGCCCTTTGAAGCCCATAAGCTTGTCTTACATTGTTGCTTTGATCGCCGCAACTCCACTGAATTGAGTTGACTAACTCTTTTTTCCTATAGTAAGCGTAGTTATTGTGAAGCGCTTTCTGGCCCTCTTTCTTGCTTAAAACAAATTTGACTTTATTTTTTTAACTGTTTGGTTTGAATGAGTCGTTAGTTAATAAGATGCACGTGTTTTACAAACTAAACTAAACCTTGCCTCAAGAGACAAACGTTTAATTGCTACTGGGGGATTAAATTGCAACCACGCAAAACTGGTATTACACCTGCTATACTGATCGTTTTGATGGGACTATAGCGGGTGTTTTTTGCTTGTCAGTCAAAATAAATTAAAGTCAAATTAAGTTCAAAATTTTGGTTCCCCAGAATCAACAGTCCGTGGTCGTAGGGGTCTGAAATTTGACACAATAAAGAGAATGGTTTTCTAGGAATCGGGGACTTCTCTGCACACTATCCTGCACCCCCACTTCAGTGGAAGCGCGGGATTTTTGACCCCTGGGGGTAAATTTAACAGACCTTTTTGTCGATTGCACTAAATTTCATATTTGGAATTCGAACTCACGGTGAAAGAATCAACATTATTTTCCATTCACCTGTTTTACTGACTGTGTCGCGTGGCTTTTTAATTTTTGCAATCAAAGCTCATTCTTATAGGAAGTTAACTGAAAGCTGGAATCTTAAAACTGTTGAATAGTCGTGTAAGGGCGATGCATGATTAAATGGAAGTCAATTCAAAATGGAACCAATAGAAAGATAAAACCATATATTGTGTATTATTTGATTTCCATCATACCGAATTAAATTATGGGGCAGTTTGTTCTAGAAGGATGTGTTCCTACGACGAATTTAGTGCAGGGGGGTTATATCCGGTGGGATTTTATCCTGCGGGATTTTATTCTAAGGGTTTTAGTCCAGTCCACAAGCAAATTTTAAAAGAAAAATCAACTTATCGTTTTCTTGCGTTTCCTTAGGGGGCGTAAAAATTTAGAAAATCAGAACTTAATAGTTTTTGGCTCAACGGGCGTTTACTCAATCTTTCTCGATAAAATTATCTTAGTAGTTTTTAAACGTTGTCGATTGTGTTGCTAAACTGTTTATCCAAAACTGATCATCATTCGAGCTGGAGATTCATCGTTCGAGCTGGAGATAAGCAATCTGAATTTTTGTAGTTTGTGGATTTTCAATCAGTGGATTTTGTATCAATTGTTGTCTGCCAGCTTGAAATATTAACTGTGTGGTGTCACAATTGGTGCGAACCTCACTTCTGTGTGTAATATCTGAACTCGCTGGTCATACTATTATCTGCCGTCTAGGCTAACTTTTTTGCTCAAACAGCAGACATCTTCCCCGGTCGACAAGTTTACAGAACTGAACTTTTATAAAGTTGCCATAACTCGCCACTTTGATCCTCAACCCTTCATGCTTCAAAAATTGAATTTTAATACATAAATAAGACTTAAAATACCTTCTTAGATATGGTTAAAGTTATATTTGCGTTATCACAATTATGCTTTTTAAAAAATATATTGTTTTAAATGGTCATTAGTTCCTGTTCTGATAATTTCTATTTTTTACATTTTTAATTTTTTTTAAAGCTTGCTCTCTGAGTTCAAATCAAAACTCGAAAAACATCTTAAGCGTTCAAGGGTACCTTATTTACTAAAAATGCTTCACGGCTTTTTTTCATGGTGTACCAAAAATTCGATTAGTTTCTAAACAGTTTTGCTTGTCTGTTAATTTACGTGCAGGTTGCCCTTTTCCTGCTTTTTATTTTTTCAAGTGCATCCTTTTTAATCTACATCTTCGAATCTGGTTTTTCTGGAGTGGTTAAAATAAGTGTTTTTTTTTCTCCCGCACCGTTTAAAGAACATTATTTTCTACCACAATTTTGCTTATTTCATTCATGCTAATTAATTATTCCATCACTCCATTTCACCATTTTAAAAGCATACCGCTAGTCCGAAAGCTCGTTCTGACAAAATCGATTTTCTTGAAAAAAAGGATCGTTTTAATTGTGTGTTTTTGTTTTTTGCTACTTTTTTCATATTAAAGTCCAAGGAAGCTTTCAATTTGTCTTCTGTGTTCCGCCAAAGTGTGTTCAGATATGAGAAAAAGCTGACCGTTTTTGGTATAAAGGTACTCAATAAATTGGTCTTATCCGGCCCGCGTTTGTGGCGCGTGGCGGCATTTAAACTGGCATTTATTGCGGATCGGCAGCAGCTATTTTTGCGGCTGGTTGCTTTTTTCGTTGTTTTTCTCCCAGCCACCTATGAACATCCTGTCTTTTTATTCTGTAGCTCAGCAAATATACTTGTGCTTTCATTTTGGACAGAATTTTCAGAAAAATCAAGAGTGGTAAAAAAGAAATAAAGATTAAGCGATACGTAAAACTGGGAAATCCTCTGTAGATTTTTTATCTACTAAGTCTAGAGAATTTTCTCTCTTTTTTAAACTGAGGTCTATGAATTGTGTTGAAGAAAACATTCAGGAAAATTACACTCTAATTTAACTGCCCGTTCGACCTGCACGTGTCTTGGTGCTGGTTAATCCATTTACTACCAGAGCGACCAGCATTGATTAATATTTTTTATCTCCGTTTATAACTTTTTTTGGCTTTGCATTCTAACCATCACTTTGGGGAATTTGCTTGCCCCCACTTTTTAATATCTAGCCACTGGGGTTAAAATTTAGCTCAACTTTTCCCGAAGTTCTCTTGAGAGTTTAGATAGAGCTAATACGCGTAGGTTTGAAAAGAAAAAAGTTGATAAAACATTTTTAAAAAATTGTGCTGGGTTCGAAATTGCGCAGTTTTGAGATTGTCTTAATCTACAAGTAGCAACTGAACAACTGTTTGTTCAAACGGCATAAAAATTACTAGAAGCCCTAAAATTGTCATTTACTTGTGGCCAATTTTCCTTTCACCTGACTTTGAAAATTGGTGATTATTCTGCACGTTTACAGCCAGCATTTTCCCATCAATTTTAATACCAGAGTTTTTTCCTTCCCATTCTGGTCTGGGACTTAAAGTCTTCCTTTGTTATTCACTTGTGTTTATCATCTTCATTTTTTTCCAGTTTTCTCTGGAAAAGTGGTTCGAATTTAGTTGATTTTATCACACAAATTTATTTGCCCGCATATCTTATTAATAAACCCTTGTAGAGGCAGGCTAATATATGCCATAATACCTTTGTGTGTGTCTATTGGAATAAACTACCATAGCTGGACAATTCGCGGGTATTTCATTCACTTGTGGTGTTTTTGTCCTCTCAAAGAACTGAAAAATATACCAAATCACTTTTTCTGCCTGGTTGTGACATTAGGGAATATTTATTGACCTGCTACAAAGACGATATCTGAGCCAGCATAGAAACTACTTCACGCATCAGGTAGGATTTTGTTTCGTATTTTTTGGTAAACTCGGTGTTTTTAGTTCTGGTCAAGTTACAATATGAAATTAGGTTTGCAGATTTGAAAGGTAAGGGTTGGATGCAAACAAAAGTTTTTTAATGTTCAATTACTGCAAAGAGAATTGATGGAAGCAAGCAAAATATCCTTTCAAAAGCGCCAGAGAGTATCCATTCATTTGGATTATATTCAATTACAGTCGAATTTTTTTTATGTTTTCATTTAAAAAAAAAGACTTTGATTATCATGGCAACCGTTCAATCAGTGCAATGATTATCTTACAAAAAGTATATATAACAATGATTGTAATCTGACGTATCTTTGCATCTTTTTTTTTTTTAATTATTCTCACAATTTGATCTTTTTTCGTCCGATTTTTTCCGAATTGAAATCTTTTTTCATTGTTGAAGTTTTAAGTACACGTGCCTATTGTGTGTAAAATTGAGGCAAATTTTCATTTCGACGCGGTACTTTAAAAGGACTTTGGAGAATTTTAGAAGTTCGAAATCTGAAAATAAATGAATAGTTTGATTGGTTTTGGTCAACAAGGACTACGTTTTTTTTTCCATTTTCAGTTGGGAAAATTCAGTCTCAAATATTTGAGAAAAGCTCATAGTAAAATTTTTTTGTTCTTTTGAAAAGTCCTGAAGTTGTACTCTTAATATCAAATTCTTATCTCTCGTGCTAGTTCAAACTTTTGCCCTTTAAGCCATATTCTATTAATTCTGCTAAATTATGCTGCTATTAGAATTTTGTGGGGCTTGGAACGAATGTCTGAAAATTATAAGCGCCAATCTCACATCAGTAATCCAAATTGTAGCGAAATAGGCAGGAAAATTAATCAAATTTGGGCTTAATAAAGGTTGATTGGTTGACAAGTTTTGGGCATTTGGCCCGTCTATTATGAAAACAGCCCTCAAAGTTTTTATTATCGAAAACAATGGTTCTTTCATTTGAAATTGAGGTCAATAATCGTGGAAAAAATGGAAATGGATTTTTACGTGTTTTGACCTCTTGAGACTTTTTGTTACTATGCATTTCTATTTGAGGGCATGCAAAAAATATTGAATATTTCTTTAATGTCTTTCGATTTTCATCTAAAATCGCTTTTTTTTATTTACGACAACTATTTTTTGCAAAGACTTTGAAGCGCATTTATTGCACAACCGTCTTCTGCAAAAGCCTCAAAATTGTTGCATTTTTTAGATTTTGTGACTCAAAAAAAATCGCATAGTGCATAAGGAGCATTTGTTTTGAGGCAACTTGCTAATCAGTAAGTTCGTTTAATTTGTCAGAAAAAAATTCCCTCTTGTTTCTATACTCAATTTCATCGAACAACGCTTAAAACAACACCAATTTACGAAAAAATAATTGTTTTTCCCTTATTTGTTCAAAATTGAAACTCTATTACAGATTACGAACTTCAAAGACCGGCAGTTGTACGTTTTTCTAACAGCGAATAATTTGTTTACCACTTGCCAAGCAAAAAGCTCGACCAGCATAAAATTTTGAAAAATTCAAAACATAAGAGCTTGCTCGAACTTGATAACCATATTACTTAGAAATACAAAACTAACAGAAAAAATAATTCTACATAAAATTTACACCTCTGAGATAGAAAATTGAGCAATTGAGAATTAAAGCAATCAACTAGCAGACAAAATTCTTTAGCACAGAAGTCTAGAAAATAAAGTTATAAATAAATAGTTTAATTGAAAAGCTGTGAACTGTTTTTTTGTACGAAGTTTTTAAAATTTTATTTTCAGTTTTAAATTTTTTTTTGATAACTGATTCACCACAAAAAACTGAGATTTTATACTTTTGGAAGAATGAGCTAGACTGAACTTTTTGTGAGCTTCAGTTTGATTTAATAGTCCAATTGCGGTTTTCTAACAACAATAAAATTACAATTTTCATGCATTTCAATTTCAAAATTAAAAATGCCAAAAAATCCATGTTTAAAACATGCAGAAAAACTGTTTTGAACCTATAATTTTTCAGCAATACTTCATTCATTCTGATTGAAGCGGCCAAAAATCATTATTTCTACATCAAGTTTTGAAACTAATATTGGTCAATTCGATTGGCTAGTATTAGTCAATCAAAGTGAAACAACTTGGTCAATTGTTTATGTTAACATTAAGTATATAAGAATGTTGAAAACTTTTTCTGAATAATTATGCAATTTACAAATGTCAACAAGTAACTAACTTTTCTTGCCGATTGTAAATAATTTTAATACTACTTACGCAAGCCAGAAACTAATCGGTTTTACTTCAAGTCTTAATTATTCAAAATATGGTAATCAATTTCGAATTTATGCAAATCCATATAGTTTATTGTAGTTCTTCGCTTAGCGCATCAGACCCCTCTTTATTAGAGTTAGAGAAACCAGAACTCTGTTATTTGAATGTGCTTTTATATCTGGATCATACCAAAATGATGTGCCGCGAAAAATGAGGAACCTGCAAAATCCATTGACACTTGGTTGCACTGAATTTTAACAGTTCATTGATTATGCATATGTAACTAAAACTCACCGCAGGTCCTACATACTGGTTTGTCTAGCGAGTCCAAATTGAACGCCCTGTTTTTATCCTATCGTGTTTTTGATTTGAAAGCGTTTTTTAAGCTTCCGATTAGCAAGCCTTATCAAATTGGAAAATAGACCCCTTTTTGAGATAAATACTTGCTTAACAACATTTTTTGGCATTTTAGTTCATACTGGTTTCAATATTTTGTCTGCTGTACATTTGTTCCGCAGATAACGAACACGCCTGGGACGACAAAGGTCCTGGGTTCGAATCTGACTAAGACGTCTTTTTTTTCATTCGGGAAAGTTTTTCGTCTTAGAAAAAATTGGCATTTGTTTGCCTGCTAGGATTTTGTCGGTTGAGTTGCCACATCTGATTTTTTTTTTCTAATTTTATGATTTGTTCTGTAGTTTGTAATTTCACTGGCTTTGACTGCGTGTACATTTTTTTCTGTTCAAAAATTTATTCCGCCCGAATGATTTCGGCTGATCTTTTATGGGCGTAGTGCCCTAATTTCGGGTCATTTAAAAAGAAACAATATTTATGCTCTCCATTGGATCAGACAAAATGCTAAAAATTTTAGAATAGAACTTAATAGTTTTAAAGTTTTTCATGACCACAATATTGTTTTCAGCTCTACTGTCATTCACTTTAGTACTGTCGACTCAGCGGTGGCTCAATAATTGATTTTGATTTTTCATTGAGCAAAGTCGATTGTGTGTATGAACGTGGTTTCCGCAAATAAAGCATCCTTCCAGAACTTTTTTTGAATTTTGTTTTTTTTTAATTAGGCGAACTATTCTGATCTTATTGTAATTTTTTTACTACAATAATAAGTTTTTTGACTACAACCTAATTGAACCGAGTTTTGCTTGGTAATTTTAGTGCTAACAGAAAAACCACAAAAATGTTTAAAAAATGTTTGTTCTCATGACGGTTGAAATTAAATTGTTGCTAATTTTTGCACGAATGATTAAAAACTCAAACTAATTGGTTCTTTTCCAAGCTAGAGTGCTGTTTGTATTATGGCTTTCGAGTCGCAAAGTTTTCAGATTGATATCAAAGTCAATGTCTGAGTCCGCCGTTGCACTCACATATGTCGCAGTTATCTGCGGTTGAAGACACGCTCGCTCAAATATGTTTATTTTTTCTGCACATGTCGCTTGTCGATTTTCTCGTTTTTCGGCTTCCCTTACGTTCCGTTCCGGTCCGTTCCCATCCAAACCCAACCCCATATCTCAGGAGTGCTTCATTTTCTATCTATCTCTTCTTTGCTCTCTCTCGCTCTCTCTCCTCTCTTCTTCTCTCTCTCTCTCTCTCTCTCTCTCTCTCTCTCTTTCTCTGTTAGCTCTATTTTTTTCTCTCTCAGTTGACAGAAGTGATTGCCGGATCTCTCAGCCCCCAGGCGTCCCTACTCTCTCCGTCACTTCCAATCCACTTCCACCTACTTCAAAAGTCCCAACTAGCCAAACGCTATCTAAGACGAAAAATATATATTTATTTCCTTGTTCGTCTTATCAAGTCTTGGTTCTGTTTTAATTAATTTGCGACGCCAAATATGGTGGAAAATTGATAATATAGAAAAAAGAGCAGATTTTTCATAATATTATTCTTTGAGGTTTTCTGACTAAATATTATGAAAAGCTCATTGAACTATCTTCTACTTGATATTCTGAAAAGCCGGACCGAAACGCCTGTCATCCCTGTTTTTTTTCGGGCTAGGTTTGCTTCAAAACACACTAAAGAACCCATTAAATAGAGACTCATTTTTAAGATATGCCATGTCAAAGGGAAATTCGTTTTTTGATAAGATGGATTTGTGTCGTCAAGACATTGTTTTCAAGTTATTCTACTGGGAATGCGAAAAAAAAGCAGAAAAACCTGTTTTCGTTCAACTTCTAGTTCGTCCAATTGGCTCTTTTCCCTTATTTTACTTGAAATGGGGGCATTAATCTTCCCATTTTAGCCCTCATCTGCCTACCCTCCTCCCTCATTGAAAATGAATGGTGCACAAAATCGACCATCTTTGCCTCAAAATTGGGCAATATACTCTTTTTCCTTCTTTCTTTTTTTACGCGGTTAAAGTCATTCCAAAGCGAAAGCCCAATTTTTACCTGCTATTTTCAATTCAATAACCGAGGCTGCAGTTACATTTCATTTCACTATTTCACCTCTACTTTTCTTTTTTTCTTTAACCAGTCCAGACTTTTTATGTTCAAAATTGAATCCCCATTTCAAAGACCAAATTTTATTCTAGTTTCCCGTTTTTATAAAGGATCATATAGCCACTCTTTAACATCTTTTGTTAGTATAATCGTATTATTGAATATTACTTTCTTCAGATCAAGGTAAACAAGCTTTCTTTCTACTTTTCTAGTAGTTTCAAGGGAAACGTCCTTCATTTTCTGTTATAAAAGAGATTTTTATAAGAATTCATTTGCAAAATGAAGTCAGTTTTATCTAAATGCATGTTTTATTTAACCTCTGGGCAAGTGGATTTTTTTAATTTGGCCGAGGAGTTCTGCTATCAAGCCTTGGACATGTCTATCTAAAGAAAGCCTCAAGCATCTGCTTCAAAGCTCAAAGGACTTTTTTGGAAGTGAAATTATGCCAATTTATGCCAGGAAAAACACTTACAATTGCGCTGCTTAAGTGAATTGACGTTAGAGTTCTCTGCAGATTTGGTTCAAGGAATTCATAGCATTATTGATGGGGAGCGGGAAAGGGGGGGGGGGGGGTAAATAAAAGACTAGTTTGAATACCAACCCTAATTTGAGTTGCGTCTAAATTTTTCCCTGTTTATGATTTCATCCACGTGTGTATGTGTCAAAAAGAATGGTAATTGCCAGGTGAATGACATCAAAAATCTCATTTTCACTACCAAAAACGCCAACGTACTTCACGCGCGGTCACGTTACCGTCAATAATGAGATTCAATTGAATTCAGCTCGGGAAAATCTTGCTCAGTTATGATTTCCTACATTTTATAATATTCAATTTGGCTGGACCTACTTCAAATATTTTCTTAGTGCCAATATAAACCAATTTTCAGCAAGAACATGCCCAAAAAGTGCAGTTTTTTGGTCAAAACCTTTCCAAAAACGCCCAAAAATGTTTTTTTTTGGCCTGTTTTTTTTTCTCCTCTGATATCGTTACACAGCATTAAAAAGGCTTTTTGCGCCCATGTGATGTGTTATATTAAAGTCTTTTCAGTCATGATTCGAACTGTAATAAAAAATTCAGAAAAAGTTATCTGGGCTGTTGATGGAAAAAGTCTGAGTTTAGTTGATAGGGTAATTGAGTTTTGAATCATGAAGCCTACATTAGCGTTCCCTTTCTTAATCAAATTTGAAAAAAAGAGATAACTGCAACCGTGAGCCTATGTTCTCTGGTCTGCACTATTTGCGCAGCAATCGATCATTCGTTTCATTATCAATTTTTTAAAATTCTTTGCATAATTTTGTTAAACTGCAAATTAAAATCTAGCAGAAGCGAGAGTACATTGATTTTACTTCTTGCATTGGTGATCGTTTTCTTTGTTCATACTGAAATTGCAGTTTTTTCTATGCTGAATTCTTGGCTTCATTCAGAAACGGCTTAATTTCCTTTCCAACTAGATTTTCTGATGTAATCACAAAACTGTTTGGTTTAGGCTAAGCTTACTTTCTGCTTTCAGGATCTGCTTCCCGTCAACCAGTCGTGAACAACTTTTGAACAACTCCTTTTAACTGAATCCGGTTGAGCAGAATGGGAGATGAGCCTAATGGGGAGGGGGGCAAGAAGAAGAAGGGTGGATCGAAACAACCCCAGTATGCCAAGGACGACCAAGGCAACCTCATTCTGCCACCAGACATGCCAGAGATAGATGTGGTCACGTGGCAGGTAACACCTCATTATTGTTGTTCACCACGTTTCCCACCGTTTTGTTCAAACACTTCTTAATATTTCTTGACTTAACTTGAATTTCAGATTTTAATAAGAGTTGTGTAAAACATCAGTGCTGAATTGAAATCGAATATCAACCGAAACTTTAAAAAAAATTCCCTAACGGTTCTTTTTTGATAAAGTTATTGACACAATAGCTTTTAGTTTTGTCAAGGATTTATATGCAGCTTTTTTTTGCAAAATGGGGATCAACATTTCAACGGAGTGGTTTTCTAAATAGGTGCGTTTCTACAAGCTCGGTATTGTAGCAAATTATATGACAAGAAGGCACTTAGTATAGTGGTAAAGAGCTCATTTTGACAACTTCAGATCGAGTGTTCACTCCCCTGCCATGACAATAATAGTGCGTGAGGTCGAGCTCTCACTTGACCTTTAGCTTCAGCTTTAAGTCTGCCGCCGTGTGGCCAATTCAGGCTGTTGTAGTGGTACCACGTGAACGTTGAGCACAAAAACGGCATTGAGCGCAGTAAAAAGCTTCGCTCGACAAAATATCCTGTCTCTGGAATATGGGGACTATCTGAAGACATAACTGGTTACTTTTGGATGACTAAAAAGTTGCTCCACCTCAAAGCTGATTTTCACTGTATCAAAAGTGTACGTTAGGAAAAAAAAATTAGAGCCGGTCTTAAAAAAATCAATCATGCTAAAAATCACAATTTCACAAAAAGTATCAAACTTTAAAGAAAAAAATTTAATAATTTAAAGTATAAATGTAGTCAACCAAAGTCATTGGTAGTTTTCTTATTTTATCTTAGTGCTTTCCCTAGAAATTTACTCAAACTTGGAAAAAACAATACTAATACTTTTTTAAAAACTTAACTCAGAACATGCTTTGCTGCTTGAACACTAATCGTTATATATTCAGTTTTTTTTGTGTTATTTTCAATCTGAGATATCTCAAAAAAATTTCTAAACCTCAAACTTAGATTGAAAAGTTTATAAAGTGAAATTCCGTAAACTTTATACAACGCTTCTCTAAGGACACTGCGTTTTTTTGTGGAGATAAACGCATCAGAAAAAGTGTTCAGTTTTGTTGTTTTTTTTTGCAAATTCATTGAGACGTCTGAAAACAGGCAAAATTTGTCTAATGACGATCTCCCAGACTGGGTTCTTTCAAGTGGTCATTTATATAATTATTTTTGACCAATATGAACCTATACTGGAAAAAATTTATTATGATTACTTATTATTATTGTGATGTGTTTGTTAATAGAACTAAAGCGACCCAATGATTTTGCCAATAATGCATCAGCTCTGATGTACTAGAAAAGCGTTGTATGAAGTTCAGCGATATTTTTTTACTGAAATGTTTTCAGTCAAACTTTGAGCGGCAACAAATAAATTCGGAGGCAACAAACAAACTCTTTTTTTGAACTGCTCAGGAAGACCAATATAATTCGCAGGCGGGGCTAGGTCTTGTACCAGACCGACGTTTTACCAGACCGACTTTTTACTAGACCACAATGCAGTAATTCAATTAAGATAAAGTTAAATTAGTGGAAGATTCGAAAAGGAAGCGGTTAGAACAAACAAAATTTTGCTGAGAAACCGTGAAATCATTGTTTTTAACCAGACTAAATGGTAAAAGGTCGGTCTGGTAAAAATTCGATACCCTTCGCAGGTTTTTTTTAATGAGAAAGCATCGTTTTTTTTTTAAATTTTACTATTTTTAAGATTTTTCGAGCTGTCTTTCAATGATTCTATAAGAAAATTCCAAGTTTTTTTCAGTGTTTCTAAAAAAACTTGTCGACACTTGAAAATAATGCCACCTGCTCACTAAAAACTTAGTTGGTCATATCAAGTAAATTTGTTGTAAACACATGGATTTACTAGATTAAAGATCTGTGGTGCATCCATTTTTCAGATCATTAATTAGAAGCAACGTAATTTTCTCCAAATTTCCATAATTTTTTTAAAGAGTTCAAACAAACCCAAAATTGGAAACTGATTTCGAAATTCTGAATTAGCGAAGAAGTCCAATATAAAAAAAGTATACAATAATTCTTTAGTTTGAAACCGGTGGCCGCATAGACAATATAAACAATCAACTTGAGAAAACAAAAGGTGATCAGAAAATGACGTCACAAACTAAAGAAAAATTCTTTCTTGTTCTGATTGTTTTTTTTTTCAGATGAGTTTTGATTAATTGCATCGCAAATGATTATCTTTTTCAGAATAAAATTGACAGTCAATTTCGAAAAGTATAAGAAAGTTTCTGCCTTTTTTGGGAAGCTTTTATGCCATTGATCAACTTCAAATTTGACATCGACGTATTCAAGTGTAAAGAAAAAAAAAGTATAATCTTTCAAATGTCAAAGTGTAATTGGTTTTCATCAATTTGGGTTGACACTTTTTTGTTTAGATTTGATTTGATTTATAACACGAATCTGTAAAAAAAATAGTATTTTTTTGACACTTGCATTTTACTTTGATACACGCATTTTTTTCCTTGTAACTCGAGCGTTTTGAATTCCAGATGATCATTTTTTTTTCTAAGGAAACTTCAATTGAAAACTTTCGAGACAGGAAATCTTCTGAATGGAACTCAAATTACGGATTCTTTTGTGTGCGTGACTTAAGTTTAAAACCATATTGACTTCAAATGCACCCGAACATTTTAAGTCTATTAGACTGATTCTTTTTGCTGAACTCTATCCTTAGATTAAAATGGCATCCTCCTTAAAAACCCCAGTCGAAAACAATACAAACAAATTGAAAAGTGCTTTTTCACATATTCTTGTCAACACCATACCTACCTTTACAATGTGTTTTACAACATGTATCCACTGATTCGTATTCGTATTTTTACCTAATTGAAAATTAAGCACCGTTTTTGCCGCAGAAAAAAGGAACTATTTGATGCACAAGCTTAAAAACCGCAATTTTAATCAGTTGAAAATTATGCTTAAAAACAAAGTGATAAATATGTAGAATATACGGTGATTATCTAATACAGGAATGTATGTCTCTTTTCTTCTTATGTGTAAATTTCTAGAAAAAATGCTAAGTTAAGAAAATGGTGAGAAATTGAGTTTTTTTTATCTGTCTAATTCGTACTATTTTGTTTCACAATAGACAGCAACTGTGCACCTAGACAGAAAATTAGCGCATGTTTTTTTGTTTGGATACTGCTTTTACGAGAATGTTGCGAGCGGTTACAGTACTAGATAATACTCAAAAATTGCATGATTTTGAGCTTGCCCCTAACTCGCCGGCTGAAAGTGTTTTATATAATAGTTCTATTTTTTCAAAGAAATGTTTAAAGCAGGCTGCAATGGCCGTTTAATAGCTTTGGCATTCGATTAGTAATACGTTAACACAGTGGATGCATTTTAATTCATCAAATTAGTCGAGAAAAAGGTGTTTTGTTTCATACAACACTACAATAAAAGTATGTTTTGATGTCAAGCAAAAACAAAATTTTGCCGTAGTTTTCTGCATCAATGTTTTTTTGACATGCGATCAACAATCTTTTGCACTATCTACACAACTGTTTGTTGCTGTCATATTTTTATAGTGCTTTTAGTTTCTCGAGGTTTAACCCAAGTAAAAAGTCTAGATAAAAATCAGTGAAGTCATGTCTTGACAGGTCTTTATTTTGCCTTGAACTTGTCCTTATAATATTTGACCAAATTGCTATCTCAGTTTTGACTGTTTCAAAGAAGACGAATGCAAAATTATAGAAGAAACTTAAAAGCACTTAAGCTTTTTTAATGAGATCATACATGAAATTTGATCAGGATGATAAATGTTCTAAAAAACTGTTTTCGATGTACGCACCGAACCTGTTTACCCAAAATTGGGTTGACATTAGCATTCAACTTTTAAAAATTTACGACAAGTCGAACTAAAAAATTGACGATGAAAGAAAAACGCACCAACACTGTTAAACAAAAGTGGGTCTAACAATGAGTTTTCAAATTTACAGCAAGTAGTTATATTGAAAAATTGACTATGAAAAAAGATTGATGATGATCTTACAAAAGTTTTACAAAATCAAAATATTTTCATTAATTATTCGAACATTTCAATAAAAATTAATTCCAACTTCTCTATAAGCGAATTGTATATTCTGACTACAATTAGATCAAGGAAACCATGGCAAAATTTAGCTATTTGTGTCATTCTTAGTCAGATGCTATAAAAATCAAATTGTTGAATTTATATGCCACAAAAAATGTTGAATTGTGATTCAAAGAAAATCTTGAACAATTAGCGGAAAGTTAAAACTGAGTTTGAAAAAAGTTGATGAAATTCATTTTTGATATAAATCAGTTTTCACAAGAACCCTATAAACTACAAATAGAAATAGTTTTAAAAAGCAAAACGTTTTCTCTCTGTATGTTCTCTCTAATAAATAATCCTTGATTTGGTCTGGAAAAATTTTGATATAGCAAAAATGTTTCATGCAACTGAAATTTTGTTGAGGTTGATTTTTGTCAAGTTTCTGTACAAAAAGGTTGCTCATGAAAACAATAATTATTTTGCCGACATCATAAGTTTTCAGCAAACTAAAGTGCTGATTTAAATTATCCGGACAAAACGAACAAATTTTGAATTTTCCAACGCGTTTTTCTCAATTTGGGTTAAGATAAGACAAAAAGTGAACAAAAGTTGCTTAGAATTTCATCAAAATTATTATGATGCAATTTTTCAAATAATCAAGAATTATGCTGAAACTAATTTGTTAATTAATGAGAAAATATATCACAAGAATTCTATTACACAGATCAATAATGCTTTAAAAAGGTTAAAACTTCAAAAACCTGTATAAGAGAAAAACTTTTTACTTGATATCAATAAGTTTGATTTTTTGTATATAAACCTCAGAATCTTTGCTTAAAATCAAATTTTAAACAATTTGCGCAAAGTTTTGGACATTCAACTATTGTAGAACTTTTTAGGCTGTGTAATAAGCTTCTTGTGATATAATTTTCTCATCAATTAACAAAGTAGTTTCAGCGTAATTCTTGATTAATTGAAAAAAGCCAACGTGACCATTTTTGGGGTAAAATTTTTGTTGAGAATTTTGAAGAAAAAATTGCATTTTTTTAAATTCTAATGAAACTCTAAGCGACTTTTGCTCTCTTCACTTTTTGTCTAATCTCAACCCAATTTGAGAAAAACGCGTTAAAACGAGAAAAAATGACCTGAAAAAAATTGAACCCAAGCTTTATTCATATTTTTTCGAGAGTGCGAGATACAGTAAGTTTTATATTTAAATTGCTAAAAAAAATGCGAACAGATAATTTTTTTCATAATTTTACAAAGAACCTACAAATCTTAATTAAAGACTATTTGCTGTTTTAGTCGTTGGAGAGCACACGCCGAATGAAAGCACTATGTGAGGAGGTGAGTCTTATTCACACGTACAATATTCCGGATCTATGTAACTATTTCGTAATGCATAAGGGGGAGATTTGCTACTAGGGTCAAAGTTTACGGATGTTTAACCTTTGAATTATTTCATTATACAGGTGTAAATTCGTTCCTTATTACCAAAGGGGGGAATAGTTACAGCTATCCCAACTTTCCCATCTGGTAAAACAGCGATAAGTGAGATTCGACAGTTTTGAAAGTGCAGTTCAAAATTGACCGGTAATTGAAAAAAAAAGATCATGATTTTTTTACTTTTTAATTTCAATTTTGTAAAAAAGGAAATTAAGGCAAGTTTGCGTATTGAAACTCAAAAATGAAATTGAGAAATCTAATTTTTCACCATTCATGGCCTGAAAACACTTTCTACATCTTTATTTTTAATGCCTTTGACAAGAAATTTGACCTGTTAAAAGTTTAGAAGACTCTTTTGTTTTTTCCCCTCCTCATATAAGATCATGTGATTCTAATATTGTCTTACAAAAAAGAACTATTTGAATACATGTGCTTTTTTCTTTTTATAGTAATGTCACGCTTTTATTTGTAAAAGAGCATTCAATTCATGAGGAAAAAAACAATAGAAAATGAGCAGAGGAGGAGGGAAAGTGGAAAAAGCCTTCTTTGATTGTCAAGTGGTAGCATCAGAAAAATCGCTTTATGACAGCAATCAAATAAAACTCTAATTTAATAATTCCAGGTTCTCATAATGTTCTTAACAAATACAACTGAAATCTTGTTCTATTTAAACTGACAAAAAAGCTTTTAACAAAAGCGATTTTTTTCTAAAAATACCCATGTTCTAAAAATGGAAAATTAATATCCAGGACTACTTTATGCACACAAAAAAATGAAATTTTGCATGCAAAAATTTTTTTTCGGAAAATGTTTGTTTGCGTACAAAATTCGATTTGCGGTTGAAAAAAAAAACAAAAAAATTTTGGGGCAATTTTTCAAAATTACTTTAAAAATTTTGTCGCTATCAAAAAAATGCCAGTCATACAGTTTCCATATATGGAAATTGTATGGTAAGCATTTTCTCCATACACTTGATGTATGGAACTGTATGATCATGATTTTTGTTGTATGGAATTGTATGATAAGCATTTTCGGTGTATGGAGGTCAACCCGGGAACGACGAGAATCAAGGTTTTTAACTTATGAACCTTCTAAAATAGTTAGTCAAGAAGGCCACATAAGAAAAACGATGAACACTCAAAATGAACTAAATTTTGTTGTAACAGTGTCTAATAAAAAATAATATTAATTCTTGAAGATGTTTTTTACGGCAAGTGTTGGCTTAATGTCGGCTTAATGTGAAGACGGCTTTGTTGAAAAAAATATTCTTAGAAAGTAGGCCGACCTTTCATCTTGAAAACTGTCTAGAACAGAGTTTATTCTCCACACAATTTGCATGTTTTTGCCAATCAACAGTCAAAAGCAATAGACTTGAATTACAACATTTCAAACATTTCGGTTTAACTTAAATTTTTCATAAATAGCAACTTTAAAAGAAATTGTATATGTTGCTGGAATGATAATTTTTTTTGATGATTTAAGCTCTTGATTTTTTTTTAGCAATTCAGAAATTTTTTTTCCTATGATGATTAATTGTTTTCATTTTATTGATACAAGGCTTTTTGTTTTCATTTTCTTCAAATTGATGACTTCGGAATACGTTTATTTTGCATATAATTTTCGAAGAGATTCTTCATGAAATATGGACAGTATGAACAAAAGTATGAAAAGTTTTAATTTAATGCCAATTCAAATTCAGGGTTCAAAAATCTGAACAAAAAGGTGATAACTTTCGGCCGTTTGAAAAATTTTTTCCTTGGTTCGAAGTTATCGGCTAATAAGCCCTTTCGGACATGAGAATGATCATCCTTCATTTTGCAAGTACTTTTTTTCCATCGGCACATCTGTCCGTTTTCCACTCAAGTTGATTGATCACTCGGCCATGGCCAACTGCAGGTGAACAAATATGCTTTCATTCCCCACTTTTGATTGAGTGAAAAGAATGCTTTCATTTCCAACAAAAATGAGAAAAAAAGTGAAAGAACAAAACAACTGAAAGAAAAAAATGAAATACCAGAGGGAAATAGAGTGAAAATAGAAGTGAAAAAATAGACATTTTGTTATTGTATCCGTTTCATGGTAATAACAATTTTTTACGACTTTTTTAATAACTGATGGCAAGAGTAAGATAGAATATTTAGACTGGGTAATATCCCAGGAGACGTGGAATAAGGTATAAAAATTCTCGTAGGTGAAAGTTTTGGCGAAATTAAATTTTCATAAGCGAAAAAGTTTGGCCATTCCTTTTCCAATGCCGAGGAGCATTTTTGAACTAAATTTGCCATGCTGGTTTATAAATTATTTAACGGAATAATTAATCAAAAAAAGATCAGGCGTAAAGAAATTGCAAATTTTATATGAAAAAAAGGTGTTTGATTGTTTCAGAGCAAAGGTATTTGAGTATTTGATTGTTTCAGAGCAAAGGTGCTGCAATCAACACACTAGTGAACCTCGATGACCAAGGAGGTAGGCCATGCAGAATACCAGGGGGGATTTATGGCATTGTTGACATATTTATTCGCTCCCCCCCCCCCCCCAAAAAAAAATATGTTTCTATAGATTTCTGAGCCGCGAATCGTTTCCGAAAAGTTTTATTTTGAGAAGCTCTTTTTTGTAAAGTTCTTGCCATAAGTGTCCAACTCAAGTGCGCATCTTAAATTTTTTGTGAAGTAAATGAGGCGGATTTCCAAAAAGTTTTGTCGACTTTTTTGTTTTTGATGTCAATTTTTTTGCACTCGGGTCGAGCACAAAACATTTTTACAAAGACACGCCAAAGAAAAACATTTTCGTGCACATGACAAAGTTTGAATTACATTTGCCATTTTCCGGAGCGCTCCTCTCAGAGTTAGCGATTATTGGGGCCAAAAAGTTAGGATCTATCGTTCAAAGAGGTTTTTTTAATGATACTTTAAAACAGTCCCGGTCATACTAACTTGGTTGTTTGTGTCTTTGTTCAGAGCAGCTGGACAACATAGAGGAGGGTCTGACGACTATCCACGCGGACATGAAGGAGGCGGAGAAGAACCTGACTGACCTGAACAAGTGCTGCGGTCTGTTCACCTGTCCATGGGACAAGTAAGTCACTCTTAGATACTCATTGGTAACATAGCTATAATACGTAAGTATGTCGTAATATATACTTTTAGTAGTGTACCGTTACGTATTCTTGTTGAGTTTTCGTTCCGATCGGGCTCTGAATTAAAATAACTATTGATCAAACTCGAATTGAATCATGATTGTTCGTGTCATGACTGCGCCTGGATTTTCCGACTGCTCGTTAAATTCTGATCAATAATTCATTTTGTTAAGAAAATTCAAAATTGTAATTTTTTAAAGATTTTTTTTTCGAAAATATATATTTTTACTGGCTATTTAAAATTCAAATTGATGTGATTATTCCGATTCAGAAGAAAATGGCAGATTATTTATGCTTCGGGTGGTGCTTATACACCCAATGAAAGATATCGCGGTCTCGCTGTCGTGGGCTCAAGTTTGAAAAAAAAATTTTTTACTGTGATTATTTTTTTAACAAAAGTTATGGGGGTTTGAAAATTGCTAAATTGACCAATAAGAAATAATTAAAGCGCGATATATTAAGTTCTTATACCACGAGTTCTCATAGCACGCGTAAGATTAAATTGCTTCAAACTGAGTTATTGTTAGCATAATTTTCGTATTATTATTTTACGAGACGCAAAATACAATGATAAACATTGCTAAAAATTGATTTGTTCAAAACATTGATAAATGTAACCAAAAGTAAGACAAAAAATAAAGTTTTTTTTCCCTTTTTTTCTGCAATTTATCCCATACACGCTATGTAAAGATCAAAGGGTGTATTCATTGTATCTAAATTATCCGACCAAACAACTTGCATCAATTCAGTTAGAAACGATTTCGTTTACCGCTTACGTGTGTTGTAAGAACGCAAAAGATCGTGTGTTATTTATCCCAAATTGGCATAATTAGCAATTTTCAAGCTACCATATTTTTACAAAAACTATTTACCGGTGAAAAATTTTGCTTTACGCTGTTTCTGCAATTTTTTCGAGATGGTGTAAGAAAAGTTTGTCTAAAGGCATAGGTAAAATGTTGACTGAAAAAAAACCACCTCAAGCATAAATAATTCGCAATTTCTTCAAAACTCGGGAAAAAAAGAATTTAAAAAAAGACGATGATACCTTTCAGATGATATAAAAACACCGTTCAAAAGTGGCTTGTTAAAAAGTTGAAGTTTGTCCGAAGAAAAAAACCACACCGAGCACTAATATTCCATCCTTTCTTCGGAAATCGGAACAGCAACCAAGAAGTTAGTAGGTGTTATACTGTTTGACACAATTTTTTTTTTTCATAGAAACGTCACCTCAAAAAAGTTTGAATGTTCAAGTTAGCTACCACTTGCCTCGCCCTTAGTTCCTTCCCCAGCCGAGGAAATTACATACCAAAATTAAATTGCTTCTAGGTCTTAATTGGGCCCACAGAAGAGGTTCTTTGTGGAGAACAGATCTGTTCATATGTTGTTTATTCTTTTTATGCATTAATGGTCGTCTCAAGTAGCTTCTTGAACTTATAGCCAAAATCAGTAAAAATTGATAATAAGTACAGAAAATGTTCGAACTTTGATGAGACTTAAACTCAAAAGAGTTTTGATTATCCAATGCTTAAAACAAAATTAATTTTTTGGATCTTCTGGTTTCATCTTAGTCGTTTTATTAAGAGTCGGTGAATGTAGGTCAAATTTTTATAGGTCGTGTTATTTTTTTCTTTTGTTTCAGCAAAAGTCTAAAAATTTGTTCAGGCTCAAATTTAATTATCGCGGTGTGACTTGATTTTTTTCATTCTGTTTATTTCTTTTGTTAAAATGAAGGCAAAGTTCACTATCGAACAGCAAAGGTGCTAAAGTCACGAAAAGCATGATACAATTCTCAGATTTCCCAGCGAAATTTTTCTTATGATCCAGTTTTCTCAAATTGGGTTAATTTTCTCTAAATAGTATCAAAGATAATTGTTTTGGAGATTCAAAGCGCTTCAAGGCCATCTATTTTTTTCCTTGAATTTCTAAATATCATACTTGAAAAAAAAACATGACAGTATTTTTTTCCTGCTGAGGTATTTTTATTGACTCTTTCCAACTGTCTGTTGGTTACGTTTTAATTAATTCAATCATTTTTTCGCGAATGAAAGATTTTTATGTTTTTTTTTAACAGAGTGCACAACCCGAACGAGGAGCAGGACAAGAAGATCTGGAGCAAGAAAGGCCAGGACGGGCCAGTGGTGGGGGCACAGCCGGGGGTACCAATGGACGGACCCACCATAGGGGGAAAATTTGTCGCCAGGTGAGAAAAAGCCCACACAGAAAAGAGATAGATAGAGAGGAAGAGATAATATAGGATCTTGTTAATCCCCCCCCCCCCCCCCCCCTATTGCAGAAGAGGGGAATTCGTAAAAAGTTACAAATTCCAAATAAGGTTATCCGTTGAATTAGTTGTTTATAGGGGTGGCATATCTTTAATAGAGGTCATAGCGGGGCAAGAGTTGACATGATCCATAATATAGAAAAATTGTTTCTTAGAACACGTAGTGTTGGCATTTACACTGTTTTGTGTGATTTTCTTAAAATAGTTTCAGGTACAGCACAGACGCGTCCTTACAAGTTGAACTGTCGTCTCTTATCGAAGTCTTCTAGATTTTGAAACATAATCTCCTGGTATTCACAAAAAACGGTCACAATATCTTTGCGTTTCAAGCTAATTCAGAGCGGGGATGAATCTCTCCCTTGCTTCGGCAAAAACACCAGTTTTTTTCAATAATAATCTGAAAAAGTTCTCTGAAAAAAATTTGTTTTACTTTTATTTCACCTTTTTTTGCAAAGTACAGTGAGAGTAGAAATTTTGGCCTAGTTTCAAATTAGCCATATGCTGTCGATGATCGGATAAAAGTTTTCCTTAAAACGCATGCTAAGTTTTTGATTAATTTTCTGCTTTGTCTTATCCAATTTGGTTAATTAGCCGGTAAACTGGTCTAAGTTTTTGCTTCTCTAGTTTTTATCAAACATTCAAATTTTAATTTTAAAAACTCTTATTTTTTTGTTTTGCAGTGGTATGACCTTTCTGAGTTCATGCGCAAACTTTTCAAAACCCTTCTTTGCGTTTTTGCTGAGCGATAGCTCAAGAGGGATTTACGGGGAACTTCAAAGCACTAAAAAAAGGTCTACAAAGAATGTAAAAGAGGTCTAACGCTGATTGCGCAATCTACAATTTTTTTGCTGGTCACACAATCATAAGTTTTTTAAATTTTTTTCTAAAACTGAAAAGAAAAATTGAAAATTTAAAATAATTTTTTGAAAGCGGTTCATCTTCATTTTATATTTTTAAACTTGACATATGCTCTGATAAAAATAGATATTTTTTGATTCACTTAAAACTGAAGAAAACCGCTCATTAAAATTAACAAAGCCCTCTGTTTTTATAATCACTTTTGAAACCAATTTATCTTCACTTAATATTTTCTAACTTGTTACGTGCTCTGACTTAAATAGATAACTTTTTTTACTTAATTAAAGAAGCACAGCTTAAAAAATTCTTTTCATATCCGCTTCGTCCCCGATTATCGTCCCGATTTAGACATAATAAATTACTGTCAGCTTTAATTTTAATCAAAATTTCCCGGTTTTGTTCGCATGGCGATGAGTGGAAGTTGTGTTCAAAGCACGTTTTAAAAAGAAGAATTTGACGTCACCAGTATTTCAACAACTATCAAAGATAACCGAGGATGAATTATACGGCACTTCTGGGACATTTTAATGGGATCGTTTATATTCCCACATAGAATCAAAGGAAATACCATCGCTCGCTATCTTACTTGTGTAAAAAATAAAAGTGATTAAATTTTGGAGCCACGGAGAATATTTTAAGATGCATTCGAACTCTTTTAAGATGCAATCTTTTAAGACGCTTAGTTGATCGATTGAAAGTACAAAGTATATCCGCTTTTAATGGAAACAAAAAAACAGAGGAAGATTCAAATGACGCTCATTGAGATCAAATTAAAGTTTCAAGGAAATTTACTCTTGTTTGAGTTTGACATTTAAAAAAGTATTTTTTAAGTGATGAAAAATACAGGGATTGTAAGACAAAGTGATTAAGTGCTTCTGAAAAGACCACTTTCTTACCATAGTTGATGATGGTATTAGTCATTCATTCTACCATCCCGGTTCTTTCTAATGAGCCTGATTTAAAAAAAAATCGCAGAAAGGAGGTTGTATGTACAAAAAACTACAATTTGTTTAAAAATTTTCGCAAATTTGACAGTTAAACAATTTGCTTTTAGCTATTTTACGAAATTTCTGTAATGTTACTAAAATGCTTTTCATTCACATCCTCGCAGGAACCTCAACTAGTAATTAGGTGTGGTTTGTGCGAATCGCAGAAGCTATCAGTGGGTCTTAGCCTTAACAGGCCTACCTTTGGACAGTCAAATTTTGTATTAACTTTTTTTTAATATAGAAAATTCTACTCGGTAAACAAATTTTTAAAATCCATTTTGTGATCAATTCTTACAAAACGTTACTTTGATTCAGGGGCGGATATAGGATTTCTCAAAGGGGGGATGTTCAAAAAGTTATCGACAATTTTGTCGACTTTTTCTTAGGTTGACTAAATTCATTTTCTGAGCTCTTCCAAAGCACTAAAAAGAACCTGTTTTGGTCAAAAATTTTGAGGTCTGTCAGCCAAAATGGTTATCTCGAAATGGTGGAAAGGGAGCGGGCTTTGGGTCGGCAGGGGGTCGAATCCTGAGGAGAAACTGTCCGCCCCCTCGCCCCTCATAAATCCGCCGCTGCTTTGCTTACAAGTAAAACTGTCTAAAGCACTAAAAACAAAGAAAATGTATCACAAGTTAAGAAGTAACTAAGATTCAAAATTAAAACGTTAAGAATGATCATATGTAGTCCATCGGAACAACCAAACGCCAAGGTCAGAAATGACTCGTTAACACGCATGATTAAATAATAATTTCAGATAAATCAGATCACAACACTTTCAATTATTTTTAGGGTTACGGAGGACGACCGAGAAGATGAAATGGAAGAAAACATAAACGAAGTGTCGAATATAGTGACCAATTTGAAGCACATGGCAAACGACATGGGCAACGAGATCGACAACCAGAACAGACAGCTGGACAGGATCAAGAACAAGGCCAACTCCAACGAACAGAGGATCGGAGAGGCAAACAAACGCGCCACTAAGATACTCGGCAAATAAGTTAGCAACTCACTTTTGTACGCCTCAGATCCCAGTATACGTCCAGTAGTCACAGAACCCTTCTCAGTCGAACGTCCCAGATCAACGAGATCTCTGTCAAAAATTCAAAAAACTCTTTATGACGTTACTTTCAATTGCATCTTTTGGGATACCTATCAATCGTCCAGGAGCCATCGGATCTCTGCTATGCGCGAGGAGCTGCATAAAATGAAGCCTTCAATCAAAAGTTCCATAACAAACTCTGAAAGCTATTTTTTGTAAATTAAGCGCTCCAATTTCTAAGCAATTCAAGTGCCAATAAGCTACATGTTACTCAAAAAGACACCATGACTCATAAATTAAGAGCCAGTATGCGCTGTAATCTAGTTTTACTCTGCTCAAACCGCAGTTTAAAGTTTCATAAAGCAACTTAAATGGCAATTAATTTTTTCAGATTAATTGGGCTTTATGAGATTGTGAGCTTGAATATTTACAAATATGAGGCTCACATATCTAGATTTCTTAAAATTTACAGGTTTTCAAAAATTTCAATAAGACCAAAATTTAGTATTTTGGAGTGTTGAAATTTTGATATCTCAGTCCATATAGCCTTGAAACTTTAATCACAAAATTCTGTAGATTTCCTAGTTTTATATACTTTTTGAACTTTGATATTTCACACATTGCGAGTTTCAATTATCTATTTTCACAAATTCATCATAAATGCATAAAAATAATCTAGAGGTTACTAGATGTTATTTTTTGTAAAAGATACTCGCATCTTAAAATAAACCTTCAAAACTTGCACAGACAGCCAATCAAACTATTATTTTCCAATAAAGTTTGGAGGTATTGATAATTTCTGTTGATAATTGGAAGTCTGTTTTAGGTTCAAATCAGGATGGAGTTACGAAAAAACGGGTTGCTTTTAAAAATTGATCTCTTTTTTACCCAAAAGTATGTAAGTACATATGTTTTCGGTAGAACAAAAACTTAAGAATGGTCAATGAAACGTTTGTACTTTAGTAAAAGTCCCCCCAACCCAAATAACCCATACCCCATCATCGAAAAAATTCTAGATCCGACCCTGGTTCAAATTAAATTATCTATTTATACTTTTCTGCCAATAGAAGAACAGTTTTGCTTTGATGCAGTCAGTTACAGTTTGCCTTATTTTCCAACACAAATGCTCCATTTGACATTATTTGATATTTGATTAATTAATGCAATTGAACTGAATATATTGTATTGCTGTACTCATGATTAGATGTTGTTTGACACCTTTGTCTGCTGCAATCACTATTTAACCTTCTATTTAACTCTTTTTTATAAAGAAGAAATAGACCCGAGTTTTAAAAATTGGTCTTTGAAAGGTTTTGGCGCGATTAGGCATTTTTTGGGATCTTCTCAACGATCTCTCCCCCCTTCAAGAAAAGGGGGGTATTGTTAAGTAAATTACATTAGTCGAATATTCGACCAATCATAATGCAGCAAAATTAAAAATCTCATGAGAACTCTCTATTGCTAATTTACTGTATTAGTTTAAGGGGTGGAGATTCTTATATAGATACTATGGGGGGAGGAGGATTGTTAAGTAGATCTTGCTTGAGATATTTCATCCCAAAAAGTTGTGTGGGTAAATTGCGTTGAAACCAGAGATGGGTTTACACGAGTAAGGAAGGTGCAATAAAATCATTTCTTTCTCCAGATGATGCCCTTTGGTTTCTTTTATGACATCCTGTGTTGACTGACTAAGCCTTAAAACTGTCTAAAAGGGTGGCCCCAGTTGCCAAAAGATATCCAACCACTCACGATGGCAATCAGTTCCTGGAGACGGCACTGCCTTGTTATGGCAGAAGCTATAACCCTGAAAAATCATCCTTCTTTGAAAGCTAACTCGATACCGCGCAAGATTGCTGTGCAAGCAGCATACTCTGTTCCGTTCACTTTGAGATTAAAGCAAAAAAAAATCAAAAATTTTATAAAAATAACGAAGCTAAAAGCCAATTACTTTTTAAAAAATTTTTAAAGAAAAATTCGCTGGACCCTAACTTACCCGCATCTAAGAAAAACGAAAATAAACCTATTGTAGTGAAATTTTTTGGTCTAAATGGTTAACAATATAATCGATTCCCTTCTAACCTCAGACAACAAAATGGAATAAAAATCGATATCAATCCGTTTTTATCAAATTTAAAATTAATTATGATCCACTTAAAATCAATTAAATTGGATTTTTTCCACTTTGATTTTTTTGCGTTGTAGAATAAACTTTGCAAGATTTCTGGATTTATCAAATGAGCAATGCAGAAACTTTGCAAAACGAATGTACGGCCTGTACAATTTTTAAACCTTTAACTTTCTTATATTGCAAAGCAATTACATTCCCCCCAATGTTTGCTTTTTTCCACCTTGCCCACCAACGATTCACCATCCATTCCTTGCCACTGCTAACCCCACAAAAACCAACTCTTCAAAAACCAACCCCGCAAAATTTTTGTTTTAAATTACAGGTCAAAGATGCCAATTATGGATGATTTTGTCCAAAAAGTTGCACTTTCTTGGCACTGAATTCATGTGAAAATTAGTAGTTTCAAACATGTTTTCATAAGTACAATCAAAATTATAAATACGAAAGTATTCTTCTCCAGAAACTTTATTTTTAAAAATAAAAGATCCAAAAACCATTGTTGGGCCCTTTTTTGAAAAAATTGGACTGAAAATTGGAAAATTTCAGCGTGTGCTTGTTCTCAGAATGAGTATATACATAGTACATACATACATACATACATACATACATACATACATACATACATACATACATACATACATACATACATACATACATACATACATACATACATACATACATACATACATACATACATACATACATACATACATACATACATACATACATACATACATACATACATACATACATACATACATACATACATACATACATAGATACATACAGACAGACCTTTATACTTACATACAAACATATCTTAATATATGCTTGCAAACAAAATTATCCTTCTGTGTAATTTTTTTGAACATTCGAAAACAATATTTTGGAGATATTTAGAAGTCTTTGAGAAAAAAACTGCAGTTTTCAGCTCCATCTCAAAATTATTACGTAATTACATAAATATATGAAAATATAAAAAGGTTGTTAACACTCCAATTTTTACCCCTCCCATCCCCTTGAAGGAAGGTTTTGCTTAACTATTTAAGAAAATGATTGAAAGCAACAAAATTGAGTAACATAAAACAAGTAACAAAAATCGAAGTTGCGCAGAAAAAATTGAATTCGAACAGCAGCTAACCAACTTTAGTTTTAAACGTGCAAATTATTTTGGGTGCTTTGATTTTCGCACCACTGAAAAGTGGAAAAAAAATCAATGTTAATGAAGTTTCTTTGTCATAATCTAGACAAATAAAAAGTAATCCTTTGTTATTGATTTGTAATGCATTTCAACGCTGTTCTTAAATAATAGTGTTATATTCCATTTTTAATTGATTATAATTGATTGTTCTTCCAATTTATAGACCCTGACAATAAAACTCAACTTCAATCAATGTTTTTTCATGCAACTCCAGTGATGGTACAGTCCTAAAACAGATAAAAGATTTCTGTATCCAAATTTTGTCGGGTCGATTGATTTCGCATCATTTTCGAAATCTCAAAAAATTAAAATGGGTGAACCTTATCTTAAAGATTTGGAAAAATCATCAGAAAACTAAATAGTAGACAATATATTTTGACCGTATGGAGACAAATTGTTTCAGGGCACGCAGGGGCGGATTTGGGGGGGGGGGGGCAGACGCTTCTTCCCAACAGGGATTCGACACCCTGCCTACCCAAAGGGTCCCCCCTTTGGTACTTTTTAAGAAATCCCCTTTTGGCCGACCGACCCTAAAATTTTTCTAAAGGCGCCTTTGACTAATTTTTGAGGGGGGATTTTTACTAATTTTGAGGGGGGAGCACGCGCCGAAAAAACGCAATTTTTTGGTCAAAATGTTCTAAAAAGTGCATAAAAACGCCTTTTTTGACTGTTTTTTTTTTTTCAAAAATAGGGGCAAAACAGTGCTTTGGGAGAGCTCAAATAATCAATTTGGTCGACCTAAAGAAAAAAAAAGGTCGTCAAAATTCTCGATTTCTTTTTGAAAATCCACCCCTCCCCCCCCCCTCGATAAAATCCTAGATCCGCCCCTGAAGGCACGCCCTATCAGCAATGGCGATAGCAGCTGAAGTCGATATGTTATAAAAGACAAAGGCTCCACTTTATTCTACTCCCAAGTTTTTGTGAAAGAAATGTATAACAAACAACGACACAACTGTAATTTTGAACATGTTTCTGCCAAAGACCAAGTTTTATGTAACCAAATTCAAAAAATGCTTTATTTTATTATCGAAAACATGCTCCAAATAAAAAATTTTCAATTCAACGTTAGACCGCTGTTTTTATTTTCCTTCAAATGATTTTTGAAACAAAAAATGTCTAGAAAAAACTACACTTAAGATATGTTGTTGATGTTGTTTTTAAATTTTTCATGAAGCTAAATCTATTTCAAATTAAATTTTTGCGAATTTTTTAAAAAAGTTTCAAAAGCAGCTATTTGACTTAGAACCAGTTCAAACATCAAATAAAAAATGAAAATGGTCAGTAAAGAATAGCATAGTTAAGGTTAACAAAAGAATAGCGAACAACTTCGAAAGTGTCAGAAACTGTTAAAATAAAGTCTTAAATGCACAAAAAAAGCAAACCTGCTCATTTTTGAAATTAATTAAATTAGGTGATTTTTCTCTTTAATAAATTTCAGTTTATTTAACCACCTTCCAACTATTTTCTCTTTGCTTGGATTAAAAAGGACTTCTCTGGCTCCTTCGTCCGAACCGTTTTGGAATAGCAAGGTCGCCACTTATAAATCATCATTAAGTAGTTTTTTGTTACAAAAATTACAAACAAAAGCTGTTTTCCAGATCAAATTAGTCAGCAAACAATACTTCGCAACATAAAAATGTTGACCTGAAAACTTATTGCGTTTCAAGCTAATCTCAGTTTTTCCAATTTTGTCAAAATATTTTGAGATGATTACAGAAAAAAAATTATTCATATCCTACTGCAATAATAAGAATCATCTTTCTCCAAATCGGCTTGCTTTTGGAAAAAATTTTGGAGCATTGATAAGGAAGCCGATTGTTTTTCACTGAGACAGCAATTTAGAGCAAAAAAATTTATTGGATTTTTAACAGCAGTTTTTCTTGTTTTATAGAAGTTATTTGGCTCTTATTTCGTTTAGGTGACAAAGCAAACAATATTTGTTCTTCAATTTCAAAAGCTGTTTTTCTCAAACGCGTAATCTGATCAAAGTAAGTTACCCGGGTTGACCAAAATGTGCAACCATACGTCGCAGCATGCATGGTTCCATGGAAGTCATGAAAAATTGCCGACGTAATTTTATGTTAAAGTAACACGTTTTCCATTCATGACGCGACGTATGATTCCACATTTTTTAAAGTATGGGGAAATTCAAATTAGACAATATTGATTATTTTACCAGGGCTGTTGACAATTTATATGTCACCATGGAAGCTTGCAATGTATGGTTACTATGGTATCATGCATGGCGCGACGTATGGTTACTATGGTACCATGCATGGCGCGAAGTATGGATACCATGGAAACATATATTGCGCTACATATGGTTAACAAAGCATTTTCCATACAAATCATGCATGGATGTGCATGGTTGCGCATTATCTTCTATGGTGGGCAACCCGGGTAAGCAAGGCATGGCATAATTAACCATTCTAGGTGCTCTTCTTTCAATTTTATCTAAAAGTCATAAAAAACAATTAAAGACAGTTGATTTTACAATTTGATAATCCTCTCGAGGCAAAAACATAGAGTGCTGCAAAAAACACAAAGACAAGCGGTTGTTTTTTGCTCGATTGCTTAACTTTTCACAACTTGGATAACACAGCGGAACTAATAAAAACTCAAAAAAAATTTCAGTTTATTGACCGATGTTGATTGACAACTAAATGAAAAAAGAAGAAAGGATGTTCTTATTGATAACGCTCCAATATGTCACGTAGAGAGGTATGTTAAAAAGATACCGAAGAAAAAGGCACAAGTAATCAGAGCTTTAATCGTAATTAGATAGAATACAAAAAATACTAATAAAATGTTTTCGTACTCAACTATTTCCACATATAAGCAACTACTCCGATTAAAGACTGCCTGTATAAACCCAAAACCGATTCTTCAAATTAAGTTAGAATTTTTACACTGCCATTACTTTTCTT